TCTGCTCCTCCTTGTCGTACATCACAAACACCCTCTCCATGTTGATCTGCAGCGTCTCAGGGGTGGCGGCCTGGCTGTTGTGGCGACAGTCACGATAGGTGATGTTCTGCTTCAGGTGGAAAGTGTAGGACTCTGCGCCCCGTTCAGCTGAAACAACGGAAAACCGCCTGACGGAGCTGGAGGTCGTAACTATGAGATGTAAAGAAAAGGAGAAAAACCTTTTAGACAATAAAGCATTACGGTGGTTTGATTTCATCCTCCTATATTATCATGTTTACCAGATGGGTAGTATTGGTAGGTCTCCTTGAAGGGCTCCATAGTAACCTCAGCTCCAGGGGGGATGTATGGCACATTGCCATTGATTGCTGTATCCACGCTGAGGTGGTTGTGTTCGTCAAGGCCACGGCCTGTTTGGATGATGGACAGGCGCTGGTTCCCAGGGTTAAACAGCACCTCAGCATGACGACTGAACTCGGCACCTGGTTACACAACAAGTCAGCCGATCAATCAACTGTTCCTACACTGCATCAGGTCCATAATGAAGCTTCATTTGTTGACAAGGGGGATAAGAAACTCTGCTCTCCAAAACAAACGCACTTGCAGCTGGTTCCTATTAAAGAAGGGAGGTAGAAGTTTCATATCGCATCACATCTCTGGAGAAAAAAAAAAAAACATCTGGCTGGGTGACCATTAAGCAAAACACAGAAAGTCCTGGCCAAGGAACAATTTGTCCCCATGCGTGTGTGGGGAAGATCTGTTCAATAAAACGGACAAAAACAAGATCACCTGTGATTTTAAATCCTGCCTGGCTATTGGGCAGCTCCAGAGCAAACAGCCATCCGAAAAGCTCTCCGATTGGTGAAACGGACATCATGGGCCAGCCCAATGACTCTGGCACCTACACAGAAAAAAAGGGTTAGCTGCTAATTATGCTAATAATTGCTCCATAACTGTTCACCATGAGTTAACAGGTAGATTTGAGTCACCTACCTCACTAATAGCTGTGTATGCTCTTCCGTCTCCAACCACGATGTAGGCATGAAGGTCGATGTTATTCAGCTCAAACGGAGTGGAGCCGACCGTCACCGTCCCGCTCACCTTACCGCTGACAGGCTGAGGAGCACCTAGAGACACATTACACAGCAAGATCATTTTTAACCCACGGCAAAGGGTTTGTTTAAAAAAAAAAATGATGTTGATTCAAAGGGGGGTTCTAACCGTCTGGTAGACATTGGCGGCCATTTCCGTAGAAGCCTGTTTGGCAGTGACAGCAAAATCCTGTGGGATAATCTGAACAGAATGCATTCTGGGAACATTGCCTCTGGAACCTAAACAATAAGAAAATGGGAGATATATATAGGTATTCAGTCTTTATATTTACATATTATTATATAAAAAATAGAGGGATATGGATTCATATATAGAAGCCAAACAGGATATAATCAGTTTATAAAAGTTTTCACTAACCTGGCACACGTTTCCTTATTCTCCGTTGTGTACTGGATCACTATGGTTGAGAATAAAGAGTTACTTCTTAATTAATAGTTTTAAAGAAGCAGTCAAAGGCTGTGTGTCCCTTATCCCTATACAGTGCACTATAAAGTGGTGACGCCATTTAAAATGAGTGTCCAAATGTCTAGTGGATGAAAAAGTAGTGGACTCAAAATTTCCCGCAATGCACCTTGAAAAGTAGTGATCATCCATGGTAGACGAGCATATATATCCCAGCATGCTTTGCACAAATCATGGGATTTGTCGCCTATGGCTGTTGCTACCCGACGGGGGTGAGAAATTACAAAGATGGCGCAGGCATCATGCAGGGAGGCGGAGTCATGTGACCAATGGGGATGGAAAAAGTAGAGGTCATCTGTCTGAACGGACGGCTAACAGAGTTCACTATAAAGTCCACCATGTAGTCCCCACTCTATGTAGTGATTGAGGGATCTAGAGGTTAGAGGGGACGTTTGGACATAGCCTTAGAGTATATATAATATATAAATGTAATGATTTTAATCATTAGTTTCTGCAAAAGGCCAACAGAAAGTAGACGGGAAACCAACACTGACTGACTCAGAGGAGCAGGTATTGAGCTTTTGAGCATTTTTTTCTGACCAACTACTCTGTTATCATTAGAGAAAAGCTTTCCTACAGCATGAAGATAACAACGCTTCAGCTTTTTTTAATAAAACAAAACATTACATTCTGGTTTCTTTATAGATAGCTTTTATAGATCTGTATTTACACAAACATAAAAGATCGAATTGCAGGAAAACAAATTCAAAACAGCTTGAATTCACGCATGGAAAACTAGGCTAGAAGAAGTGGATGGGTGGGATCAGGGGAAACATGCAGCCATACACAAATATACAAGGCACTTGTTGGAAAGAAACCAGCTGCTGCAAGGCAACCTCCCACTGCTTTCTGCTTGTGAGGACACATGTTGCAAAAAGCATTTTCTGGTTCATTTAGCGACACGACAAAATAATCCTGGTTTGAACCAAATAACCTTAAGGTTTAACCTCAAAATGATCATGAAAACAAGATCTTCTTTGCTGCAGGTCTAAACCTAATTCCTGGACCTCAGTAATATGCAGAAATGCTGTTGTTTTTTTTTATTACAGAAGAAATTAACACAATGATTTTGTGGAAACTTTGACAGTTTCCAAAAGCTGGAGAGAAAGCTTAAAGTGATATAAGCTCCACTAATCATTTCCAAGTGACAGTTTTCCTCCATTTCCTCTCTGCATGTGTCTCATTTATTTTTGTATTATTATCAAACAAATAATTCTGGACCAAAACAGTTTTTTTCCCATCCCACTGCCGCAGCATGTTGGCACAACTCAGTGGATAAAAGTTGGATTTCATAAATAGTGTCCACGTTTTTCCATTGCAGCCACAGAACTAATTCAATTTTATGGATTTTTTTAAATGAACCAACAAAAACTAGTGCATAACAAAGAAATGATAGAAATATCGTAACAAATGAATATCTAAGATGTGTAGAATGTATTTGTGATGCCCCCTTTATTATGATACCCCTAAATGTAATTTTATAGTCTGTATATGCCAGATTATTACTAAAATTTTGATTTGTCATCTCATTGTTTCCTGTTGGTTTAGCTCTAATCTGTGTGAACAGGTTTTCTCCCTTAGCTTCTCTACAATCCTTCTGCCTCAGCTGCTCCTCATAAGCCTCTAATCTTCACACCAGCTTCCAATGTTATTCTCCTCATCACCTCCCTCAATATTCAGTGTCCATTTTGGTCATCATCCCCAGCTGGATCCCTCTATTCTCCTTCCATGTTCTCAACTAGCCTGTTTCTCTGCCTATGCCTGATTGTAATTTTTTATACTTTTCTGTGCAAAATAGTTCAACTGGTTGAACCTAAACTATTTTCAGCGTTTCATCTATTTATGAAAATACAGAAAACCCAGCTGACCTCTTTTTTTGGCATAATGGAAAAGGAAAACATGAGTGAGAAGTACAACAAAAAGTCATTTAATCTACTAAATTCTTTGTTTAGAGCAAAATTATATGACTTATATTATGTATTTTTTTTAATTCTTAATGTGTCTGATAGGTCTTGAAATAACGTTTGTTTTTAGCTTAAGGAGATGTGCTAAATTGGTAAAGATAACAGACTGATACAGGAGTCTGAATACATATGAATCCGTGTATGGTTCGTTCTTTGGTTTTTTTCATTTCAAAACAAAAACGAAAAACCAAAACAAGCATGTGGTTTTTTTGTTTTTCCGTTTTTAAAACGAAATTAGAAAAACGGCATTTGCAATAATGAAAAAAGTGTACGTTTTGGGTTTTTTTTTTAAATGCAATGGTTAAACCAAAGACAAGCTTTTATTTTGTTGTTTATTCAACGGACCTTATGGCAGACCCAGAAATGAAGACCTAAACTCCAAACACATAACTTTTTTAGTTACCAGTAGGTGGCGGTAATGTACGCCTTCAATTTATTGCCAACCGCCAATACAGTCCACAAGAAGAAGAAGTTTTTCAGTTAGTACTACCAAAATGGAAACTTTTGTGTTATTTAGAGGGAATTGGCGCAAGTTGTGCTCCATACAAAACCTTCTGACACACATTACCGAGTAATGTGGAGCTCCATTGCGGCTCAAAGCATCACTGATTTCAGAGTGTGTTTTTCCTCTCTAAAAAAGTTCGATAATCAATGCAGAAAACGGTTCAAGTGCAGCCTTTGGCTTTTGTTTAGAAATGGTTTGTTTTGATGCCGTCTTCTTCCACTGTAAATGATTTTTCTTTGCCGACTTACTTCATTTCCGGTTATTTTCATTTAGATGGGAAAACATAACTCAAACGCTGTTGATTTTCTATTAATTCGATTTTTCATTATTTCGATTTAGGTTTTTTTGAAAAATCGTTTTTGTTTTGAAACGAAAAAAACAAAGAACGAACCATACACGGATTCATATTCAGCGCTCTTTTTTTTTTTTTACTTTCAAGGTCATGCTCCTTTCATTTCACAGTTATATACCCGCTTATATTTGTCAATCTTATCAAATTCTGAGGGACATAACGTCTAAAAAAGATGCATGAAAATCGACGGTTGGCTGCAGTCTGTCTTGACATGTAAATTAGTTTTTCTCTTAGATAAACCCAAACGCAGGCATCCTGTTTGACCCCATATGTTTGACCTCCAGGGACTTTTTAAATCTTATGAAACCATACAGGTCTACTGAGAACACCGGCTTGTTTATTGCTGAATCCTTGGGGAGTTGCGAGGGAGGGAATGTGGAAACCACACACATCAAACACACCTGGAGATGTCCTGCACAGCGGCAGCATTATACTATAAGCAGCTGTGTAGCCTTGCTCCATAAAGAAGGAGTAGATTAGCACTCCTACAACTGACATTGCTTTAATGGGGGGTTTATTTATCGCCTGGTGTTGCTTTGTACCTCTGAACTTAGGTTTTCTCAATATTATGAATGTTGAAAACATTTTATAGAGAAAATTCTCAGCTGAAATATAAATATAATGAAATAATATATACAGCAGTAGCCATTCAAAATTTCCCAACTTTCCTTAATGGACCCTTAGCAGGTCCCTTACAATTCCTTTTTAAAAATCAATCTTTGTACTAAAATATTCTTTCTGTCATGATTTGTGGACATTTAGATCTAAAGAGAAGCATTACCTCCTGGTCAGACCCTATAGTTCATAAGTACATGAATCAGGAAATTGTCTATATACTAAACTGAATGATTGTTATTCTCTATTAAAAAAAAAAAAACACTTTAGATTTTAAAATCTAAACATTTTCTATTTCTTTATTTATTTAATAAGTCAATGTATAACATGGATGCATAAACACCACATTTTATTTCAGTGTTAAATTCAGTTTAAAGCAACAAATTACAATTAAAAATGTCTCCGGACCTTTACTGGTTGCTAATTTTTTTTTTATTCAGACATCGCAGATTTTTAATTAGTTATCCCTGCTATGAAGCAACATTTCTGCCTCATTGGCTCATTTCTGCCTCATTGGCTCAATGTAAAGAAAGACTTTCTCTTTCAGCTTGATAAAGTATAGAAAGCAGAATGGACAGCAGGTTCTGCTGATTGCGGAACGGTTGGGAAGTTTGTTTCCTTAAACACACAAAGCAGGAGCAACAAAGAGAGACTTGAAACAACCGTGGACAAACGTCCGTCTCTTGTACTTTATCTGTCTATTTTCTAAGTTAGATTTAAGGATGGAAAGTAATATTTTTGTGGTTAATCGTCCTGCATCGTAAGCCAACTTTCTTGCTATTAGAAAATCTCTAGTAGGACACTAGCTTCTCTTTAAAAACCAAATAGATAAAATAAGATTTTTTTTTCTCTTTCTACTCATTTTCAATGAATAAAACACCTCCTTAAGTGAGTACTCAAAATAAAATAAAAAATATTAGAAACTCCTCACTACCTGCCAACATCTGGCCCCAAAAAGCTGGAAGAGGCATGTGTTTATGGTTGTGTTAAATCGCACCGCTTTGATCTGCACACATTGAAGGCAACAGAGAATCTGAGCTGTTGCAGGACTGCAGTCTATTACCCCAGTAACAGATCTGAAACTGTTATTTAGCCATTTGCTCAGCATCATTTCACAACAAAAGGCATCCAGTCCCTGTGAAAGATAGCTTGCCAGACCGGCACAAGCACTGCTCATGAAACTTCATTGTTAAAAGCTGTGCAGAATGAGGTCTGGGTTTGATGGGATAAAATAGCCAGAAACCTTTGCAGCTAGGATATATTCAATGAGATTTATAAATATATACTGGAGCCATTTTTTTAAGGCAGCAGGAAACCTTAATTAGCTTCACAGTCCATTGATTCTATGGCCACCTCAGATAAGATCTGGAATTCCAAGAAAACCTGCTGGGACTTTCTTCCATCTGGTTTCTTTTCTAGAGGCGGCAAAAAAATAATGTTTCTTGCAACTGCTTCTTAAAGACATGAAGCAGTTTTATTTTTATTTTTTCTGACACTGTTTTTATGCTTCTGTACGGTGACCTTGAGTGTCCAGAAAGGCGCCTTTTTAAATAAAATGTATAATTATTATTATGATGGTGTTTCCTGTGATGTCAACTAAGATTTTAACAGAAACACAAGTCATACTTTGGTTTCAAGTTTTGACTTTTACAAAACTTTACAAAACTTTTTCTATAGATATTTAAAAATCTCTTTTAAATTTAATACAAGAAAAGATATTTATAAACTGATGTTTTCAAAGTACTGAAACGTTGGTGTTTTCTCCCTTTTATGCGTTAAACTTGTCTTTTAGGGGTGTAAATCACACCCATCATGGCGATTCGATTCACTATCAATTTCCTGACCCAACGAATCGATTGTTTTCGATATTCAAGAATACACCACTATATGATTTGATTCGATAAATTGGTCAATTTTTTTTTTACCTTACAGGCTAGACAATGTTTCAAACTTGAAATAAATCAATGAAAGCTGCATATTATATGAGAAACAACAGCAAATAACAGAAGTAGCAAAGTTGTACTCCACCTAAGCCTATGAAAACCTCATTCACTGGAAAATAATAATGCTTCTGTGTTATAGATTCTGAAAGGCCTTACAATAAAAAATACTGCAAGCGAAAAGAGGGTAGTGGCTAAAGGAAGCCAGGTAGGAGGGCAAAAGAGGTTTAGCGCCACCGCAGCACAGGAGTCAGAATTACGTCCAGGAGCAAATGGATAAAAATAGACCGGAGGGGAAAAGAAAAACATGATTCGATAATCTTACGGACGTGTCGATGCATCAGATCATCATGGATCGATGAATCGATACAAAACGATTATTATTTACACCCTGTTGTCTTTATAGATCAGGTTTCATGTGGAAACGCTTTTAAGTCTTTCAAAAATCTTCCAGTTTAGGTTAAGCTGCAAACAGTGCAGCGAACCTCACAGGAAACACAGTGGCATCTCTTCTGCTCCTAAATCAACGCCTGATACGGTGTTTACAGTATGCAGACTGGAATAAAACATCTAAATGTTGTAACTTATTTTGTAATAACCGATAAAGGTAAATAACTGGCAAAAGTAAAAAAAAAAATGCAGTTTTTTTTAGACTTTGAGGATAAATAGTGAAAGTGAAAGATTGTTTTTGTTGGCCAAGACAATAAACCTTTGGAATTTTTCTCTTTATATCTAAAAAAAAAAACATAATTGATGTTTATATGATAATAATAATTGAAATTTATTGATCTCACATTGGAGAAATTTATCTATGCATTGAACCGTCCTCTTGGGGAGCAGTGGGCTGCCATTGTGCGGCGCCCAGGGAGCAGTGTGGGTCTTGTTCAGGGACCCTGAGTGGAGGCTGTGGGGATCAAAGTGGGAACTTACAACCTTCTCAGAGCACAAGCGCACTGATCTAACCACTAGGCCAACATTTAAAGGGAGTATTGCTTGTAAAGTCAGGCTATTTTAATTTAAGAGCTGCTTTTAATCAACTTTTGGATCTAACTGAACAAATTCTATGAAATTGTGTTGCATAAAATGTAGTAACTATGACTGATCCTTGCAGCAGTTTAAACACCCACATTTTAATTACAATAGAAATCCTCTGTGACAGCAGTCGAGACAGCCCACACCAAAACACATGCCTGTGTGGTTTGTTTCTCACCTCCTGTGTCAAAGTCAACATCATCTTCATCCACACTGACCACGTGTCCTCCAGGAGACAGGGCTACTTTGCTTGTAAGGGGTGGAAACAAGTCCACCACGTCCAAATTAAGCTAAAGATGGAGACAAAATAGAAAAACATTAATCAACTTTAAACTTTTCATCATGTCACAGAGAACAAAGCCAGAACATAAACCCTCTCCTGACACTAAAAACCCACAGAACGATGACGTGGGAATAAGATGGCAGCGCATCAACACTTGAAAACAACATTCCTCACCACCAGCAAAATTGGAAGAAAAGATTTACATCTTCAAGTTGTCTTGAATAAAACTAAAACCTTTTTTAAAATGAGATGAGACTTGCAGTTCAATGGGTGATGGGAATGTTTTAGGAAAGACACAGGACTAGTGTACTGCAAAAACAATCCAGAAATAAGTAAAAAAAAATTCTTAAATTAAGAATATTTACCCTTAATTTGAGCAGGTAAATAAGATGATCTGCCAACGGAATGAGTATTTCTACTCTAAAATAAGATAAATAGATAATATGCACTTGAAATAAGACAATATCATTGTTTTTTCTTATTTTAAAAGGAAATCCTTTCCATTGGCAAAGTATCTCACTTACCTCATCAATTCAAGAAAAAATGCACTTATTTTAATAAAAAAAAATAACCTATTGAGATTTCTATTTTTTGCAGTGTGGATACCTTGATTTCTTTTCATGGCATTTTGACAATTTTATAACTAAAGCAAGATCAGTTTCTCCAACCGAGTAGTAGTATTAAGATTGTCCCAAACGATGCTGTTAAGCCAGAGGTGCCTCTGATCAGACGCTCCTCTAAGTGGTTTAGATAAAGGGGTGAGGTCTTGGTGGAGACGTTGTCTGGTTGAGAACCTTGGTGTCCAAACTTTGCTGTCCTGCAGACAATGTGGTTCTATTGGCGTTGGCACTACATAACTTTAAGGAGAAGAAGTGAGTCCAAAGCATGAAGGTTAAAGGTCAACTTCTTCAAATCTATGGCAATGATTCTCAACAGAAAAACACTGGACGGCTCCCTCTGGGTTGAGTGTTTCTCTCTATCTCATGGGGAGGAGCTCATGTATAGTGACATGTTGTTCATGAAAATCGAGCTGAAGATTGATGGAAAGTTAGGAAAAAAGAGATATAAGGAAGGAAAGTTTGAATGAATGAATGATGGAAAGAAAGGAAGGAGAAAAGAAACATGTATTGGAAGAGAGAAAATGGCTAAATGAGGTAAAGCTTGTATGAAGAAGTCAGCGAAGGAGGAAATCACCTCTCAATCCCTTAGATAAAATTATTTCTGAAGATTTTTGTATTCAATTCAATTCAGTTTATTTCTATAGCGCCATCTCAAGGAACTTTACAGTTAACCAGATCATCCAGTTAAATTGATTCAAAGTTTTCTATCTAAGGAAAACCAGTTGATTGCATCGACTCATTGCCTCGAAGGCAATCCCTCACCCTAAGCATGCTTGTAGCGACAGTGGAGAGGAAAAACTCCCTTTTAACAGGAAGAAACCTCCAGCAGAACCAGGCTCAGTGTGAACGGGCATCTGCTGAGGCCGACTGGGGATCAAGGAGATAGAAGCAGAGATACAAAAAGCAGCTGTACAAGGCGGACCCGTCCAGGAAACACACAGCCAAGCAGACAACAAGAGAGCACATCCAGCCAGTCACAGTCAGGGAAACAGGACTACACTGGAAAACAGGCTGATCTCCAACATCTATATCTCAACAATTTCACAAACCAGCACTAATACAGTAAAAAGAAAGACTGCAAATTTGAATCAAGATGGTTTTTCATCTATTTCTGATATCATTGGCCAGAACTTTGTGTTGTTACCTGTGGTTGCTGTTCCTGGACCCGTCCTTCTTGGACGCCAACACGAGGAGCACCGTACTGCCTTTCTACCGGCTCCAAAGGCAATGGTACATCTTCTCTTTTGTATGATATCTGCCGATCAGAGTCTTCTGAATGAGGAGGAGGCGCGAAACCTCCAGGTTGAAGGGAGTCTGAGTGGTCGCTACCACGAGGATCTGGTTGGTACTCAGGGTCTCTGCCTGTCAGTGTTTGGCTACCCTCCTCTTCTTCTGTCTCTGGCTCAAAGGTATAATCTTCAAACTCATATTCAGGGGTGGTTGTGTCCTTGGAGAGAAAGTTAGTAGAGTTAGAACAGAATTAAAACAAACCAGGAGCTAAACCCCTAACAATAAGATTACCAGGTAGGGGCTATATCCAACAGTAGGCGGGATAACAAGGAGACCACCAGTAGATGCAGGAATGATGTCTTGGAAGAAGTAACGTCTTCCAGTGTGGAAAAGCCAAACGCCAGCTATTCCAGTGTTTCCAACCCTGAAGAAGAGTTATTAAATAATCACAGGCATGCCCAAGATACCCACATATTATGGCTCATATTTCTTCATCTTTTCTACATCCCGTTTTTAATTAGGCTTGTCCTTAAGGTAATTAATTTAATCAGGTCAACTATGCAATGAGAAAAATAGCATAAATATGGTTTAAATGCTTTTTAAATTAGTAAAGAGATGACAACAGTCTACTGGTGAATGAAATCCTAGTCTTCAGTGAAAAAAGAACTAAATGGGGCAAAAACTAACAGTTGCAAATAAAGCTAAAGAGTGCAAGGAGATATGAAAATATAAGACCGTATTTAAACTTTTAAATACCTAGCATCAATGCTAGATGGAGCTGTTGTCTGCTAGGTCTCCATTTTTAACTGAATTATATAGCCAACAAAATTTTTCAAATCCTGATTTAATATATGGCCAAAATACATTTTAAAAGGTTTTTTGTTTAATTTCCGTGGTGTTTAATTCACCGCTTTAGGAAACTGCCAATGAGGAGCGAAAAAACCTAGCTAACGCTATGAACATTAGCTTGTAGCTACATTCAAGTTACATTCATTTTTGTCTTTATACATTTTAACTTATAAACTGTCCAGTTTAAACATGTTGTATTAACACACAACAGTTTTTGGCCGACAACTGTCACGTTTTTGCTTACTGAGAAAGCCTTTTAACACTGTCTTCATCCTGGGTAACGCTGTAAAAAGGTCCATCGGTTTTGGAAATGATGAAATAAGAAACTTCTCCTCTACTGAAGCCGACTCTAGCAGGAAGCTCTATCTCCACATTATAGGACTCCTAGAAAACAGCAAGAAACAACCGATTTTAAACCTGTGTTAACAGAAACAATACTAACAGGCTGTATTTATGTATAACATCGCAGTTCATACATGCATATATAGTCCACCGGGTTTACCTTAGGCCGTGTCCCAAAAAACGTAAGTCCATCTTCAGGGTAAAGAAAGAGAACGTACGAGTCGGTTTCATCATATCCAATCACAGCTTGGAAGGTATTGACCTTCAGGGACAGAAAGAGATACTCTTAAATGATTGAAAACAGATGTAAGGATAAAAATTCAACCTCTGGGGAGTTTTTTTCCCCTTCAAATCCAAATTTGGCTGATAGAAACCGTAAAATGAGGAGATGAATTATTCATTGCCTCATAAATGGCTTAATAAGCAAACATTCCCAGATATATTTCACAAACCAAAGCCATGCAGCCTGTATGAAGCAGTAGATATAAGGATACACAGGGAACATGTCTTCCAACCTCTCTACTTCGGCTATTTATTGACCCCAGGAACTTGAGCTCATCCATTTTCAGTACCTCTACTTCTTTTAGCTCCCCCCCCTCCAACCATCTCTCTTCCATTTCCAAATATATTTTGCCTCTATTTTCAAATTCGTCTCAAAGCCAGACCTCAATTTATCAAAAATCACAAAGGCTTATGGGCTCATGGCTTCAGTCCATTATACTATCTTGCAGAGCTTTGGTTTTAAAGTATAAGAGAACGTATGTTTAAGGATTTTCTCTAAAATGTATGGTAATCTACTAGATTATGCTGTTATCCGCTACTTCCTGTTTGCCAAGGCTGCTCTGTCACCCTCAGATCGATCAAACACTTACCTCCTATGTTTAATCTTCTCACTTCTCCTCCCCCGTTCCTCTCTCATCTCCCAGTATTGTGGGAGGTTCTCACCCCTCTTTCCGCCTCTTACACCCACTGCGACCATTTGTTGATGTACCTTTCTAAACATTTAATCTATATAGACTGATGTATGAGGAAACGTAGGGCAAACTGCCTACTACAAACCACACTAAAAAAATACTCCGATTTTATGAATGAAGGAAACACTTTGAGCAGTCCTACATTGTTTTTCTTTGGAACGGCTCCCCAATACCTCCATGCACACAGACGCAGACACCGATGTATATATAACAACCCTTATGTTGACCACCACCAGCCCAGATGTGGTTCCACAGCTGTCTTTCTCCGAGTCTGACCATAAACAGTGACGTTACTACTTGGAAACCAGATCTCATTAGACGGAGAGCCACAGGGCACAAACAAACACAGATGTCCCTTAGCTTATATTCATCTCACGTGAATGTATGTGGGTCTGCTTCTAATTGTTTGTATCAACATCTTAAACCTATCTTGTTGTTTGTAGGAGGTGGGGGACTTTGCAGGAGTCGCCAGACTCTTTGTAATTAGTGAGGAGGGGGGTTTATTTTGACTAAAAGGATAAGAATATTTTTGTTTTAATACCTGAATTCACTCTACGCATTTAAGGCAGGTGAGAGATAATGGAAATATATTGATAGAGTATTTGAGTGTGTCCTTCCTGCAATCCTTAGAGGGAGAAACATACAAACCAAGAGAATGAAAAGGAAAATATAGGTCAGAATACACTGAAAAGGTTACTGGGTACACATGATCCAACTGTGGCGTTTTCTGAAGATCTTTACTCAAACGCTAAAGAAAATAGTAAACATGTTTGTAAGCTTTGCCGTAATACTTCCCGCGTGCCTCTGTTGCAGATGTGCAGGAAAACAATGAAATTGCATTTCCAGTTTTACTTTCAAGAGGCTAGAGATGCTGGTGGAAAGGAGTCAGGAAGTGGGTAAATCAGAGGAAACGGAAATAAACTCCGCTGCCAAAAGTATTGGCTCACCTCTTCGTCTCAACACACAACTCCAGAAATCCAGAACTACTGGCATTATATTGTATGTCTACCTAAGTGGAAAACATAATAGGAAAACAGAAGATGGGATTGAACACTCAATCGAACAGAATGACAGAATTTACACAATCAACCTATGATATAAAGGTAAGCATCTACTAGGCTCCCTCGGAGGCGGTCTGCCTGGGGTTTGGCACAAGAGTTTCTCCTCATAGAACATGGTTTCAACGATAACACTCAAGTGGGCTGTCCTTCATGCCGCGTCAAAGAAAGAAACATTTTTCTCTTAGTGTCACAGAATGATGTAATTCTTCCTGTATTAATAAGTTAGGAAATTCAAATATTTTAGTCTTTCAAAACTGTTTACAAACACTAGGACATCATAAACTCTGCCTTAAAACGTAGCGTTCCCAGAGAACAGAATGAGAAGGAACAACATTCTAGACAATGTCCGCTTTGCCTCATGTAGAAAATTCATGATAAACAGGATGCAGAGTTTTAGGGGAAGGACTTTGGAGGTGGGGAAAAGGGATGGAAATGAAGAAGATCTGCTATGATTAGGGTAAAACAGACTTCTGTAAAATATGTTTGTGTGATCATCATAAATATTTCTCTTTCTAAGCTTCAATAATAAATAACCAAGTGAACGAACTGCCTCTCAAAAAGATGAGAAAGCTATAAACCTGTAACAAACTGCCTCAGTCTTTAAGAGTTAATAAAGAGGCACTTATATTTTATTTCAAACACTTGTTAGTATCTTTTGCTATTTATGATCCAAGAACTTCCATTTAGTTTATGAGCCTCTCATAGGGTGTGCTGTGTAGTGCATGGGCAGACTCCTGTCCATAATTCACATGGATATATCCATCACAGATTGTCATGTGTCACAATCAGAACCCGATCCTTTAAGATCCATTAACGAACCAGAAGAACCCAGCCTCTTGTTTTGAAATATACTGGATCAGCTCAGATCTTTCTATCTGTGTTTTTAAAATTGATGCCTTTTACTCCGTCAACCGGACAGTGTCTTAGGGCTGTCCTTCATGCTGCCCCAAAAAAGCTAGTAGGAATTACCTCATTGACTAGGAAGATATCATTTATTATTAAAAAGATATTATTTTTATTCTTCTTTTAATTGAAGCATTCTGTTTTGTTAATTTGATGTTGTTGTCTTTCCTGTAAAGCACTTTGGCGCAGTTTTATACCTGTTTTAAAGTGCTATATAAATAAATTTGACATTGACAAAGGCATCTGAGAGTGACCTCATCCAAGGTTTAAGTCCCAACCTGGAAAGACCTTTGTTTCATGTCCTCAACGTCTCCCAATCCTGTCCATCCACTTGTGAAACCAAGGCCACTAATGCCACAAAATAAAAATAAATCCCTTCAGAAGTGCCTCATCGTAATGGTTCTATGTTTCCCTGTGATGGACTGGTGTTATTTCCGGGCAGTATTTACCCTCCGCCAAGAGACAGCCAAAGACAGGAACACGATTCAATTGTTTATACCAGTAGGTAGAGATAATGGGTGGATACTAAAGCCCTAAGTGAATGATGAAACAACAATGAAAAAGGTAATAAAGCATTTTTCATGAAGTTTCTTCTCTACGACAAACTACTGATCTTTGGTCAAACAATCCAAGGCAATACGCTAACTAGTGAGAGCTACATGGAGTAGAGATTGGTTTCAGGGCCTTCAGACAAGAAGGGTAGATATCCAGTAAAATTTAGTCCAACTCTGAATATTTCATGTCAGGTAAAATTATTGTTTTAGTGTCAGTATCAAACCTCCTCACAGGTGGAACCTGCATATTTCTAGCATAGAGGAAACGTTTGTGTTATTGATGTTACAATTACAGCCTTTTTTGTGTTGACTAATGCTGTATTCTTTGGCTCCCTACATCGAGACGGGCCCATTTGGGTCATGTCTCCCCCCCCCCAGCCTTACTCTATCTACTTGGCTATTTGCCAAATGCATGTGCTGTTTCACGGCATTGGTAAAGATGCCTGGGAGTTCTTTACAGACTCACAGCTGGAAGAAAACAAATTACAGCCACCAGAGATGAAAGACTTTTGGAGATTGTAACTCAACACTAAACCTCCCCACAGCATTCCCTCACACCTTTTTCCTTTTCTAAAGCCAGAGTGCTTACACTAGTCATGCTGACCAGAAACAAACATAAACAGTAATTACTGCTGAACTAATGTTGCTGCTTTTCTTTCCAAAGAGATTACAGAAGATTTAGGTCCATTGTCTGCCTGATAGTTCTGTGTGGTTTACGCTAAATAACCAAAATGTCTGCATTATTGCGAAACGTAAGAAACATGTTTTACAATAAAAACAATCTGCATTAACATGCATCCAGCCCCTTTATTTTAATATTCCTAAATAAAATCCTTTCTAAATGTCTTCAGAAACCACCTGTTAAGTGAACAGAGTCCACTGAAGCCTTGTAGGTGACACAGAAGTAAGTGGACCTATCAGATGAGATAAAAACCATTTTTTTTTTATCTAAGATACAAGTATGGCCAAAAAAAAAACACCCATATTATAGAACATGGAGGTGGCTACATTATGCTGTGGGAATGTTTTTCCTCTGCAGGGACAAGAAAGCTAGTTAAGAACTATATTTATATGCACAAAGTGTCTAAACATGCCATTCGGAACATTCATTATAATCTAAACGTAGCTAGAGTTAATAAAAACACCTAAAGATAGAAAAAGAAAATCAGCAGAGGATTGAAATACTTTAAATCAGAGGATTTCTATCAATATAATTGGCCAAATCAGTTGAAAACCAACTAAAAGAAACTAAATTCAGTGATAGTTTCCATTTAGCCTGGTCTGAGTATGGGCTGAGAATGGTCAAAAACTGGAATCTTAATGCAAAACTGGGTTAAAAAAATAGCCCAACATTCCTGCATCTTTAAATGTAATGAAGTGCAGTTCTAAAAATATTTCCACTTCGTTGGAACCAGTGTATCATTTTCCAATTTTAATAATAACTGCTTAAAGTAACTCCGCAGAATCCCACTTCAGTAATTGCTTAAAAGTAGAGAGTTTCCCCTCTGTGGTTCCTTCAGATAGAAGTTATAGAGCTGGAAATCAGTGAGGCAGCCCTGAAGCATAATGTGGGAAGAGGTCAGGATCCGTGTTGTACACATGTTCTTTTGGTTGCTGGTGTTTTGGTGAGTTAACCGCAGCTGCAAAACAGGCAGAGAGAGACACAGCAGCTGTGGTTTAGTTGCCAGTATCACCAGAACTGCCTGCAGCGTGGGAACTGGCAACGCAGGCAAACGCACGCCGCAAACCAGACTTCTGCAGAGGAAGACT